CTCTAAACAATCAACGTAAAACACATCGAATGCTGGAAATCTTTGTGATAGTCTTAAAATATATTTTCATATTTAATTGTAACATTTAAAGCTTCAAAAGTAGTGTAGATCGAGCAGATTTATGAAAACTTAAAAATCTTGAAAATTGACTGTAAAAAAATGCATTATAAAATGCACTATTTCCAAAACTTGAAATTCATTATTTTTCTCATGTCCATGCATCTTGATGTCGAGATGATCAATTTGAAGATATTTTGGCATCATAATAACTTCTTCTAGTTTTAGGTGGGCTCTAATTTGATTGTTTAGACCCTCGGCTCTATATAAACGTTTTCCACACACACAAACACATACACATACACATACACATACACATACACATAAAAGGATAATATTCAATTCACAACCCTTCAAATTACAAAAGTTACTGCAATGTTGTCAGATTCACTTTGGAGTTTTCTTTGATTTAGTGAGAAAAATAAAGCAATTCGATGCTTCGGTCGATTGGGGAGAAGACTTCGTATAACTATTTCTTTGTTGGTCGAAGCAGACTCGAAGCATACCTGAAGCATACTTGAATGTCACCAAAGTAGGCCGAATCTAATAACCTAAGCGATATTACCAGGCTTTGCTTCGCTTCAGTTTATGTCTAAAATTGGAAGGCTTCTGCTTTTCCAGTTAAAGAAAACCAAATTTGATAACGAAAGACTATATAATGCATTACAAGATGCAGTATTTTCAAGACTAGCGGACCAATTTTTTTTATATATGTCCATATATTTTAAGTTTGAGATAATAGGATTTGTGGATTTTTTTGACATCAAAACAAATTTTTCTAGCAAGTTTTTTAGGTATACTTTAGTTTGAATTGTTTGGAATTGTGTGTTTTCCCTTAAAGTATTTGGATGCTTTGGTTGGAACGGAACTTTTGGGTCCATGGTAGAGGGAGTGTACCTAAGGAGCAGCTCCAACGACATATTTTCCATTGGGTTAGAACGCTGGAAAAAGTCCACAAGTGGGCTTTACATTCCTTTGAAATTCATATAACTTCCAATCTTAAACCTTCATTGGAGTCTGGTACCTCCCTATGTTCATAGTCATGAGGCATGGTTGCCTCCACCTTTAGATTTGTTTTAAACTTAACATTGATGCGGCTTCAAGGTAGAATCTAGGTAGCGCTGGATGTGAGGGTATCATTAGAAATGATGCAGGTGGTTTCATTACGGCTTTTGCAGCACCCTTGGGTATTATTTCTCATAACGCCGTTGAATTCTATACACTTGAGAAAGGAATTTCCCTATCAAAGGAATTGAACGGTGTACATCTTGTTATTGAGAGTGATTCCAAACTTCTTGTTGATTCTATGAATCATTGTTGCAAGGATCATGGGAGATTGAGCATAATTTTGGTGAATTGTAAATCCAAGCTTGCATCATTTGCGGATCTATAACAGAGCATTCAACATGCTTATAGGAAGACCAATATGGTTGCAGACTCTCTGATCAAAGTAGCGGTTTTTATAAATGAAGCAACGGTGTGACGTGCTCGTCCTCCAGATGTTGTAACGCCTTTCATTTTATCTGATGTTGCTAGTATCCCCTTGCCAAAAGTTGCATAAAATATGTTTATGTAAAATCTTTTAGTTGTTAATAAAACGGGTAGGACGGATATCCCTACTGATTTACCTAAAATAAAATGTTATTTTCCACTTTAGGCCAAAAACAAATTTAGCGTTTATTGTCTCTGACAGGAAATCATTGCAAATATACACTTCCATTGAATTTGGAAGCCCCTGAATGAAAAGGCATTTTTATAAGCAAATAGTATCAAGTAATCGGAGCGGAAAAAAACATTTTTAAGTTTTCCCTTCATCAAATCCCATATATGATATGATGTGACTGAAAACGGCTTTCAGTCGTTCTCCTGATGACTTAACACCTGATCTCACAGGGTGAAGGCGTGGGCTCGGATCTGCATTCCGGCATCTCAATGTTCACCAAAGCTGCAAAGGAAGAAATTGGCTCCCTTTTTAAGGGTAATGGAGTCGTTGCCGGAAGTGTAAGTCTTGGAGTGTGGAGGAGCGCTGCAGCTGTCGTAGCCGTCAGCGTTCAATGCAACCACGTCGTGAGCGGCGGCAGGATACTTGAAAACTGCCAAGAGAGTACACTAGTTCGCATTAGTCTTAGTGAGAGAGAGACAGAGCTTTCTAAAAACATAAAAGCTAGATAGAGGGAGGAATTTTGCGGTTTTTTTTACCCCTTGATTGTAATCTATTTCATTAAAGTTAAAAAATAAAAAATAAAAACACACAAAAAAAAGAGATAGCAGTTAAAACTTTAACTTTAATTTCGTTAAAGTTAAAAAAAAAAACACAGAAAAGGGAGCCAGAGAGAGCAGTTACCAAGCACATCTCCTGCCACGAACTTCTTTCCCTTTGGCCAGTCAGATACGCCAAAAGTCCAGCCTCCGTTGTCACCCACCGTGTAAGTGGTCGCCGTGCTAAGTTCCAATAGCCCAAAAACCACAAGCACCAAAGCCACCAAGCCCATTGCACTGCTTCTTCCCTGTGCCATCTCTATTTCTATCTAATGCGGACGCAGTTTCACTAATTCTCTCTAACTCACGGACGTTCGCAGAGCTTTTTACAGAGGTGGGTTCACTTATAGAATTTTAATTGGCACCTTGCTAAGAAGAGAGGTCCTCAACACTAGCCTCGAATTGCAGAATTCGAGATTTGCTTTTTAACTGCCGTATCTCTTTTCTCTTTATTTTCATGATTTCATGAGCATGCGGATTGCCAGACCCAGAAACCAGTGCAAGTGTATGAAAGTGAGAAGGATAATTTCTACGTAATTTTCTCTTGTGAGCAGTTGTAGACCCGTATCAACCATTTTAGGAAAGAATATTGGAAGGCATCATATTATTTTTTAAAAAAAAGTCCCTCAAATTACAAACACAAGCCCGGAATGATAGAGTTCGAGATTTCAAGTAAGGTGAATTCCAGATTTCATTCTAAAACAAGGTGTCTTCTTTCTGTCTTTATTTTGGTGCTTTCATGAGCCTGTGGATTGCCGGATTAGTGTTACCCAAAAACATTGTTGGAAAAACCAAGAATATATAACCCATGGTTAGATTTATATAATTTCCAAAAATTAAGGAATTTGGTTTGTAAAACATTTTTTTTTAATATTCTTTACATTATGGTAAAGTTTAAAAATTGTTTTAGTCACTAATACTCGTTTTTATATTTTTTTATTTTTTTAATTTTTTTTAAAAATACCCCTAAACACAAATCGATTCGTTAAAATCTATTTTTTCATTAATTTTCAACGTCATTTGAATATGTTTTGCTTTAATCAATATTTATATGTTTTTCATATTTTAGTAGATTTTTTTCTAATATTTTTTTGACCATCCAGGATTTTTTCGATTAAAATAGTTGAATCGGACAATTTACGGATTAGATCGATTAAACCTCTCCTAAGCCCATGTCTGATTAACGGTTCTGGTTCGATTTTACAAACATGCCTCTTTTAAGCATTCGGGATTTGGTTTTAAGCAATCATGCATCTTTTTCTCTCTGTGTTAGCATGCGGATTGCCTGATTCGGACGGTTACCTCGAAATCGGCATGCGTTCCACTTTCATACACTCTTGCTGTAGGTAATTTGGTCGGGTGAGCAGTCGTAGACTCATATAAGCCATTACACGAAAGAACATTTATTAAAAGGAAAAAGTTTATATGCGGGCAGCAGGCACGGTGACTCCCTATCCCTACCGTCGCATCCTGTTGGAGATTGGTATTGGACGGTGGTGATGGGGAGTTATGGACTGCCGGCACGTAAACTGTATCTTTTATTAAAAGGTTATAAAGTTTATTATTATTATTTTTAAAATGAATTAGAAGGCAGTGATTTTTATTTATTTATTTATTTTTATTTTATTTTATTTTTCTTTTTTCTGTGTGTGTTGAGATGAATTATATAGAAAATTTTAAAAATAAAACAAGTCAAAATTTAAAAACAAAATTTATGTGCAGATTGCATGGCCACTCTCTTCATTCCAACAAATAATCCCAAAAAGATAAAATTCAATTTCTACCTTACACAGTCAAAACGAGCCCTCATTCTAATTATTAGGTGAATTTTAGGATTTTGGCATTTGAAAACTCAAAATCAATTTTTTTTTTTTTTTTAACATTGTTCATCTAATGATAACAACTTCATTTAAAAAATTTAAAACGTTCATTCTAAGACCTAAAAATTTAAAAATTTAAAAATTTAAAAATTTAAAAATTTAAAAGAATCTCTTTGGGGGCTTTTTTTTTTACCATCAATCTTAACTACTTCATCGCTTATACTCCGCTTATTACTAAATTTAGATTCTATATATTTTATCTTATTCCCACTAATTTTAAATCTTTTAGATTCTAGAACCTCTCTTCAAATTTTTTTACTTTGTTTAGAATCCTTTTAAATGTAGTTGATTTTATTTGGTGAAAAAAATCATGTAACAAGGATTTATAATGAAAAAAAATTAGTTTTGTTTTTGCAACCTTTAATAACTAGGGGGATTCTCACCATTGGTAGTTTGGAGTACTTAACCATGAACAACAAGGCTTATTAGTCATTTGTTTGAAGCCAATTAAGCGGGCTAAATTGCTAAAATTCTCCAATTTTGTTGTATTCTCAAACTTGAACAAGGGCAATTTAGTTATTTTTAACATATTTTTTGAAAAGGTATCTGGTTCATATGAATTTTAAAAAAGTATTAATTTTAAAGTTAAATGAGATGTTTTGATTACATTAGTAAGTTTGTAAAATGATTTGATCATTTATTTCCTATTTTCTATTTCATTAAATAATATTTACAAGGCAAAACAATAATAATGTAATACATAAGCGAGAACTTGAAGGCAATCGCGCTTAGACATCTCTTATTCGTAAATCGTAGTATTCACACTTCTGTGATTAACCACGTTGAAACCTTCTTGCACACAATTTTTGAGGTTGAACACTGCGAATTTACTGTGCCCCTCACATTAAGGAGGTTTCTCTCGTATGCGCCAAAGCGATATGATTCCCCTATTCAACCATCCATTCTAAATGGACGGTTGAGATGTTTTCAATCACAATGTCATACCTCAACATTATTTTATATTTAATGTTTTTTTTACTAAATATTTTGACACCAAATTTTGGGCTTTCACTCCTCTCTTATACTCGCACTTGTAAAAAATATAAAACAAATATTCTCAATAAAATAAAATGAGCAAAATACCCCTAAAACTGATATGGGTATTTTCGGTCATTATATTTTGTCAAAAATATTTTTTAGTATTTTATTTAGGTGCGCCCTATTGGAAGGATGGCACATTCCAAATTTCATATTCGTATAATTTGATTACACACATGATCATCCATGGCTATTTACAACTGGTCGGTTTGGGTCGGGTCCAAAAAATGATATGGGACCTGGACCCAAACCCTATCGGATCCGATCTAAACATTTAAATATTTATGTATTTAATTATCTTTAAATATATTTCATATATTGGGACCCGAAAAATATTATCGGATCCAAACCCAAAAAGTGTTCGGATCTCACCTGGTCAAATTTTTGGACCCATACTACGACCCTGATCGGATGTAGAGGTCGAGGCCTAGGTTGGTTCTGGGTCCATTGCCACCCTTAAGAACACTAGGAGGGTTTAATTGTGGTTTAGCAGGAAACATTCCCAAGGTTTGTGCGTGTATGTGCTAAACTTGTGTAATAGTAAATTATGTTATGGAGTGAAACGCACGTTAGGAGTAATACTAGGATCCCAAACTTGGGGTTGAAACTTTCTCAACTTGTTAGACAACTTAAAAGAATACAAAGGTTTCGTACAAGCTTTAGGGAAAAACAAAGTGATTGATTATATCCGGTCTAGAACGGGTAGATATAAGTATTTGGGTACTCAAAATCCATTTTATTTATTTTGACAATTTAAGAACTCATAGGTATGTCTTTTGTTTGAGAAGCAAGTTTGCTGGAAGTAGGATGCATTTTAAGTCTCCACACACACATGGATTCAACCATTGATATTTTTTTCATTTTTTTGGACAGATCAATAGGGATTTGGCCTTTACCTTTTAGGTGAGAATGAAGTCCGAAACTTCATTATAGGGCAATATTTGGTTTAAGAGAAAATACTCATCTCCTGTAGAAGCCTAAGGGCTACTTCATTATAGGGCAATATTTGGTTTAAGAGAAAATACTCATCTCCTGTAGAAGCATAAGGGCTATACATATATGTTTTGATGTTTGTACTTTGCTGCCCATTCAAGTTTTGTACTTCACTGCCCATTCAAAAAACCATCAGCAGGGGATTTGATGTTGAGGAAATGTATACAATACAACCATTTTGTTTTGATAGAACGAAGTCAAAGCCATTATTGGTTGTTAGATGTGAAATTAGGTGACTAGATACGTGTAATCGGTAAACAACACAGTCTCAAATAAAATATCTTGAATGTTACATCACAATTTAGTGAGTCCCCAAAGTAAAAGAATACCGAAAGTAAAAGACAAACCGAAAGTTAAAAGACTTGTAGTACACAATCCCAGATGCCAAAGATGATCACGACATCAGCCAATGAAGAACATAAAAAGATATCAATTTTGATAGCCATAAAGAGATCCAATAATGTGACTCACACCAGCCAAAGGTCATCTTGCTTAAAAATTCATATATTTTTTCTCAGAAGAGAGAGAAACCAACACGAACAGTCTAGAAACTTATTTAGCCGTCACCTTATCTCTACTTACAAGACTACTACTCATCGCTTATGATCAGTGAAAATGCTGACCACAACAGCGATGCTTGTAATAACAATTTAACTAGTCTCTCTCTCTACACTTAATTTATACTACTCTCTCCTTCTCACTCATCAACGGTGTAGATTTCGATCAACATTCCTTTTTGACAGTCACCAGAAACGCCGCTAACGAAGAAATTGCCACCGCTCTGTAGCAGTATATGATCCAGACCGGTTTGGTAAGTTTTGGAGTGCTCAGGAATAACGCAGGTCGTGAATCCTGCACCATTAACTTGAACCACGTTGTGAAGAGCCGGATCGTACTTGAAAACTGCAAGGAGAGCACAAAAAGGCACACGTAGCCATAGTATCAGTCTAGAGAGAGAAAACCTCTTGTGAGTGTGAAATATATGTATATATGAAAGTTCAATGGTCTAGATTGAATCTGGGTCGATCTGACGATTTGGATTTGTAGAAAAGAAAATAAAATTCAAACATTGTCGGACACCCTTGATCGTCAGATCGGCCCAGATTAAATCTGGGCCTCTGGGATCATTTTTACTTATGAGCCCACTGGCTCACAGCAACGTTATATATATATATATATATATGAAAAAGTTTATATAAGGTTGCCACCTTAAAATGTAGAATTACAAATGCACATCAAAAATCCATTGGAAAATGTTGTTTTAATGTTGAAAAACCCTATAATTGATCATCTCGACAACAAGATGTATGAATATAAATAAAAAATTAATTTTGAGTCCGAAAAATAGTGCACCTTGCAACACATTATCTAAACCGTATTTTGATCAACACAATATTTTGGAGGTATTTTGATCAATTTATATTTTACTAATTATTTTCATATGTTTAAAACATTCATATTTGTTTTAGAGGTTTCAGGTTCTTCCTTTGATTTAGGAAGGGAATCGTCAACTTCGGGGGGTACAGGAATATCATTTTCGGTTATTAGGTTATCGAACTCTAATT